TTTGGAATATCAACATGGGCACATTTGGCTTGTGAACACAAAAACTCCAAACTGCAAACTACAGAGATCCATTTCAGCTTGCCAACAGAAAAGAGACTGGTGGCTTTTTCCAGCACTTGCTAATGAGTCAAAATGTCTAATTCTTCATATTTCAAGGTCTGTAATCTGCGACATCAGCTATGCATGTGTTGAGTCAGCACGCCAAATTAAGTATTAAAAGTGCCTCTGAACACTGTGATGTTTAGAAACCAACAAAGGCGGTGCATGGGGCAGAGATGAAAAATACATTTTATGGCAGAGCAGTGGGTAAACATGCTTTTGATAGTTGAAAGTTATTTTTTTCCCCTCTTTATTTTCAGGACTGACTAAAAACACAAACAACCACTTTGTGCAGTCCTGTTTCATTTAATGTGTTACACGTACACACTGGTTTTGATGAGAATTAGAGCCTCCCAGTGTCCTTGTACTTCAAGTACCCACTCTGAGACTGAGTTTGTGAGTTCAATAACACTCATAAAAGTACCCCGACAGGAGGGCACAGATTAATGTAAACGCACATGCTATTATTTAAAGTACCTACCACGCATTATGCAAATATCTAAAGAGAGACTTTTTTTTTCACTGAACAGTGTTTCTGTTTGATATTTCAAAGCAGTGGACTTTTTTTTTAATAATGCAGCATGCCTTGATATACAGTTAACCCAATATGTTGACCAATGTGCTGCTGTGCATTTGCATCACTGTTTGTTTTTATCAAGTAGTTTATATTTAACCAGTCTCTTCTATATTACCATCTTCACATTCTGCATGGATTATTAAAGGTCAAGTACAACCGCCCTTCCATCACATCTTAGCTCGGTTGTTGTAAGAGATGTGACTCTTAAAGATGTTACACAGAGCCACCGCACCTTACTTCAACTAATGAGACAGCAAAGAATCACTCAGTCTAACAGACAGGTGTGTATGATAACTTGCTGTATGATGTGTTGGTGGTGTCTCAGTTAGCAGATTTCTCTCGAGACTGAGTCCCAGCAGACAGGAACAGCTGTCCCTGTCACGGCGGCCCAATGGCCATCTGAAAACAGCCACCTGCCTTCTCAAAACTCCAGGGATTGACCAATGGATTGTCCACTTCTTGAGTGCATGGATTATGGTATTAGTCTAACACGGAAAAGCAGAGCGAAATCTCCAGGAAGCAGATCCCATTGTCACACAACTGATGTGAGGGCCAATGACAAAAAGGTTTATGTCTTTGAAGGAACTAACCCTGATAAGCTGCGAAGAAGAGTGGGGATAGTACAGTGGAGTAGAAATGACTACTATCTGGCTCCCACAGCCAGATGAGCACGCAGTGACAGTGCACCCAGAGAGCACCTTATCACTGAGGCATGTGGAAAGATAAATGAGAGAATCTGCACTCTTAAAATTTAATTGCAGTCTGCAGTAATAACCTTTCTGCAGGCAGGCACCGTGGGAAGCTGTGGGAGCACAGGGGAGCCTTTTTAGCTGGCTGGGGGATTCTTAAGGCGCCTTAGGGGGTGATCCCAGAAACGGCAGAAAATGGCTTTGGTACCACATGCTGACTGGTGCTGAGACAGGCCAGCTGTTCAGTCTACTTGGCAGCAAGGCATCTCTAAAGCAGAGCAGCAGACGAGTGGAGGGTGCTGAGCGGGGAGACGGCGTGCTCCCTTTTCATTAAACAGCTACTCAGATCTGCAGCATTAGTCATGTAACTTCTTGCATGTGTTACTTTTTGGATTCTTCACCCTTTTTTAGCTGGTGAGAATCTGGTGGAAAACCAGTCTCTTTGTTGCTCACCCCAAGATTAGTGAGGTGTTAATTTATCCAGTGCTCTTTCTCTCCTTTTGAAGATGTAACACGCACCCATTACGTCAGCTAATCTGTTCCTCTGCTCGTCTGGCTGCCTGGTTCTTTTTTTCTCTGCCCTCTTTCACTCCCACTCTCTCTGTTTCATTTGGGTGGGACCTCTGGAGCCTCTGCCTCCATTCCCTGGAGGTCATCCTCTCCTGTCTCCTCCTTGCCACAGACGGTGGGCAATGTGGCAGCCTCGCCGCTCAGCTCATTATCGCCCACGCTGGGCCCACAGAGGGCATGGCACTGTGGAACATGGCTCGGCCTTCACAGCCAGCTGTCAGGGCTTTCCTCTCCCTGAACTGGGGAGGCTGGGGTTCCTGCCTCTATATGGATGGTAACACCGAAAAAACCCATCCATTCAAAGATAAAACTTTGGCTTGCAGGGGCTGAGAAGATGGACACCTTGCTCAGTATGCCCTAATATGAAATGCTTTCTGTGAAAGAAAATCATTTTTCTCTCATATTACAGTCCAGTTGAAATTGTAATGAGCTGTAATTAATTGATTAGTTGTCAATTATTAAATTAATTGCAAACTAATTTGATAATTGTTTAATCAGTTTGAGCAATGTTTCAAGAAAACAGTCTCTGATTCCAGCTTCTTCAATGTAAATTTTTTTTTTTTTTTTTTTTTTTTTTTACTAATATATGACAGTAAACTGAATATCTTTGGGTTGTGGACAAAACAATACATTTGAGGATGACATCTTGGGCTTTGGGAAACACTGATTAACATTTTTCACCATTTTCTGGCATTTTATAGACATCCTACGTCCCTGATACAATCTGAAAACACACAATCAATATTGAGGTGTTCCGGGGACGTACCCTATTATTTTTCCTGATAATGCAACATTGTAAACAACAAATCGGTGTTGAGACAGTGGTGCTGCATGACCTACCTAGTGTTGAAAATATTCCTCATGTTACAGAAACCACTGGGAGTGAAAATTGTGTTTTAGATGTTATTATCATACTGTCTGCACTTTTGTTCTGTGCTCTGCACAGATCTGACAACTGGTCCCCGGAGACTGCGGGCAGACAATAACCTTATATTTTTAGGTTCATAAAATGTACTCGTGTCGATGATGACCTGATGATGCTTCACTGTCTCGGGGTTGCGCCGTGTTTTTTCCCTTGATAACACTACATTATAACAATGTGCTTGTGCCACTTATCGATAGCTTATGTCAATGATAACCTGATGATGTTTATTGTCCGGGAGACGCACCATGCTGAGAAGATATTTTCACTGTTATTATATATATCATATTATGTATATATTATGTATATCATAAATCTTGCGCAAGACCAGATCCTGTGTTGTCTCAAGTGAAAGGAAAACATAAAAAGTCTTCTCAGAAAGACTTATACTTACACATATACAGTCTATGGTTTTGTAAATAAAGTTTTCAGATTTGGGATTTTATTTGTTTAACTTTCAGATAAATTTTTAAAGTACATGAAAATAACCATAATTATAACCATATGAAATCAAATACACATTTACCACTAAAATTTGTTATAAAGTAGAAATTTTGTTGGGGACCACCTACAGGAACAGGGGACTCATTACATTGAAAATCTATCAACATGACTAACTGATTATATACCTAGAAAATAACTGACAGATTAATCAACAATGACAATAAAATAACCATTAGTTGAAGCCCTAATTACAAAAGTATCTAGTTTCAGTATTGTGACATATTTCCTAGTGAAACAGGATAGGCAGGCAGAATAAATTGGTTTGATTGCTGAAAAGTGGGTGTGTCAATGGAGACATGATGCTCCTTGTAGCTGCTGCAGCTGTCCACTGTAAAATACTATTAAGCATAATCTGGAGCTGTCAGACATCCCACCTTCCTCAAAGTGCATAAATTATAGATTGAACATTGATTGGATATTGATATAAGAAAACAAAGAAATCTATTTTTTGTATTTTGTTTTATATGACTGAGGAGGTGATCTAAAGGGGATGGAAATGCATTTTTCATATCATCTTAACTTAACCTAAACACAAATGTTAAGTGTTAAGTTAGTCAATATTTGTGAACATGAGTTACTCTCTCTTAAAGCCAGAAACCAGCGAAATAAGTCTCAAACTTGTGATGTCACAAGATATAAAGTGTGGAGCTGCTCCATAGACAGTAAATGGAGGATTGATACTGTGAAACCACAGAATGTTTGTTTTCCTTGCTCTCAGTGTTGCCTACAACATGTTTCATGGTTCATTGTTTCTGAGCAGCTCAAGACTTTGTACTTGATGACATCACAAATTTGAGTTTTAGCACACATAGTTTTTGGATTCGGAAAGAGTCTTTTATGTTTACTTATATTTTTGCGTTGTCAGAGACCACAGGAGAAACATGTTTGAATTCTGAAAATGGATGTAGTTACCCTTTAAGTGTAAAGTGTTTAAGTGAGATGTCACATGAGACAGAGACTGTACTCCATGAGGTGAAAGGCAATAAAGGGGAAACCCTTAGCACCCAACTGCTGCAATTTGCATCAAAATGAACTCTCTAAGTTAAAACTCAGTCAGATGTGAACATGCAGACATGATATACATATTTATAGATTAAGTGTGACTTACACTTTCCCAGAACTCGCCTGTGAATCATCATGTTCTTCAGCTTTTTTCAGCGTCAGAGTAATCCAGTGATAGTTGTCCTTACATTCATGGATTCATTACAGCTAATCTGCCACACTTTCAATGGTGCCAATCTGCCAAAATGTAAACAAATTTGGGCTAAAAAGTTCACGTTTGTTAATTTACTTTTTTCTTGTTTTACATTAAAGTTGACATGGCATTTACCTCAATATGTCTAAGGAGGAGCCCCTCAGTGTCAGACTTTCAATACCCCTGGTTTAGAAGACTCTGATGATGATTGATCCCTTTTTTGGAAGAGTTATGAGGGACCTGCAACACCTAGATGACATCGGGTGTTCAGTGGCTGCACAAACATCAAGGGAATTCAATTTTGGGGTGCACTGCTGCATTAACAACAAAATAAAGCCGAGCCTTACACTGAGGACGAGCCAGCACCCTGCCTTACCGGCACTGTCCACTCTTTGGAATAAATCTACACAACACAGCTGTCAGCATCACTTCATCTTGACTCACCTTCTCTTGGTACTGCCGTCGAGATGAGTCTAGGGATTGGATTAAAGCTGTGGCGTGGCCCACAAACATGGCGTAGCAGGTAGCGCCCACAATCATGCTGAGGATGGTCAGCCACACGTCTGTCATGCCCACCGGGGGGTACATGCCATACCCAATACACAGCATGTGGCTCATAGCTTTGAAAAGTGCGTAGGAGTACTGCTGTCCCCATGTGTCGTTCTGTATGAAACAGAGGAGATGGGGTGAGTTAGGGTGAGTACATTGGAACACTTTATCTTTCTGTCTTGCTCACTCTTTATCTCTCTCATAAGGGTGTTGATGGCACATTAAAGGTCAATGAGTACCCTGACAGCTCACACACACGCACACACATCCAATTACTTAAGACAAAACTAATGGCAGACGTCTACTTCAGGCTGCCTTGGTTCAATACAGAGCAGATGGCAGGGTAAAACATACTTTTCAATATGCAAACATTTGGAGCAAGCAGACATTTGGGCAAGAGCCTAAAACAGAGCCCTGAGAATGGGCGGATGGAGCGGGAGACACTGGAGGCTTGCATGACAGAAAGTAGGTCAGCTATTTAGAAAAATGTGATTTCTCTGTGAGTTTTCTCATTTGTAGATAAATTGCCCCTTTTTCCTTTAGATCCCGGTGGTAGTTCATGGCAAATCAATATCAACTCTCTCCTGGGGGTGACATGTCCAAATTGCTTTCAAACTCATTTCCACGGCAGAAAAGCTGAGAGAGATAGCAATTTTATTAGTGCCCTCCTGAAAAGGTAAGGAGCGATGACCCAGCAAGATAATGGGACAGCTACTGTAAAAGAAGACAAAAAATGTCTCCTAATGATTCTAATCAGAGCCAAACCAACCGTGACTGAGTCAATACAAACTCTTTGTCTAGCAGGTAATGTGAGCGAAACATGAGGAGCTTTCCATCAGAGAGGTGACTGCCCCCGAGGCTCGAATTAATTCAGAAAGATATATTTGTTATTCTGTCAAATTGAGAGCCATTCTTCTACGTAATGCAATTAATTAGACAGTGTTTACTGTGGGAAACAAAACAAACTCCATTCTGATGTTAATGAGAGGCCGCATCCCTCACGCGGGATTTTAAATTAAGTACATTATGAGTGTTCCTCCTCACATCTCAGGGCCTTTGCACTCCTCGATGCAAAGGAGGCTGTTTGTGGATGCGGAAATCCGAGGAAGGCAGCCAGTGCAACCTCTGTGGAAGTTTTGGAAACATGACTCTGAGCTGTAACAACATGAGGAGTAGAAAATGCCTAAATATAATCTAGTCAGAACTGCATGAAATCATCTTGTGACAAGGCATTTGGCATGTGGGCCCATATTCCAGAGTCACTGAAATGGAGGTATTAAGACATTTAAGGAAAAGAAGGCTGGGTTTTTAGGCTTTAATGGTAGTGAAGGTAAAAGTAGGGCTTGTTATTAAGAACATAAGAGTAAAGGCAACATTTCTCTGAAAATGCAAACAGGTTTTTTTCCTGGTTTTGTTGTGGCTTTGTGTCAAACAGTATTATTTCTGCATTTGCAAACTTAAGGTTCTTAAGGTTCAAATACCATGTTTGTCAGAATAAAACAAAGAGATACAGCAAACCTGCAGAAAAGACATCAAATCCAGTCCTAATCCATGCATACTGTACTGTATCTTAATGACGAGCCACAGTTAACAATATGTTGCCTGACAGCTCAGCATTATGTAACCTAAAAGAATCCCCATGCAACTTGGCTTTATGCATATTGAACTAGTATTAAAATGCATCTTTTATGGTGGTGAAGGGAATTGAATTTAAAAAAAATAATAAAAATGGTCACCACATGCAACGCATAAGCCTGAATTTTGTTTTAATCTAAATGAATCCACACAACTAACAGACAAAGAGGGTGGTTGAACTGGAAGGCTGCTCAAAGCGGCTGCTGGTTTAATCCCCAAGTACTGACGAGGTCCCCGAGCAAGACCGCCTCACCTGAGTGTGTGCATCTCTGCACAGACAGGTATGGAAAACGAGCTAAAATTAGCTAAAGTGTGAAACATCTCAAGGGACAGTGGTTTGCAACATCTGTCGTTTCTTATGATTAAATAGAACAAGTGAGCATGTCAGGGAGGCAGTGAGGCGTGATGAACCAAATGCATCATACCTTGAGTGATGTAACTACTCATGTGACATCTGTTCTGGCACGGAGAGCTGAACATACTGCTGACTAGAAGCTGGTTTGTGTAGAACTCTAAGTTGGCCTCTTTGAATTTGTTGTTTTGTTGCCACAGTTTAAAAATATCTTTCTGTTTATAAATGTATTATTCTGTCTGTCTTGTATCATTAAATTACTTAAAAAAAAGTTATTTCAGCCTGTATTATAAGTATTAAATTCTAATGAGAATAATGCTGTGTATTTTTCTACAAAGAGAATTGTGACAGAGAACTGCTGTGATCATTATATGGAGACTAAACGGCTGAATGCAATAAAATGGAGACACTTTAAACTAAAAGATATTGCCATGAAACATCCTTCCATTTTTTGTTCCATTAGTTGTATGTTTAAATATGCAAATAGTCTAATCAATTATACTGATTTTCATACATTTCCATAACAGAAATCTAACCATTGAATAAAGCCATGTTCAAAATTCTTGTTTCATTTTGTTGACATATTAAGAGTCAAAGGTTTTTAAAGAGGGAGTTTTAGCTATCTCTTTTTTATTATTCCATGAATCAGAAAATATTGTCAAAAGCTATAAGAAAAGTAGGAATAAAATGTTACATAAATCATGCTGTGAATGATATATGAATAAAATCCTCTGTAAAAACCCCCCAGAATATGGACAGGGATAAAACTGTAACATTTGGTGAGTGTAAGTGCTACTGAAGAGGAGATTTCTGACTCAACAGTATGACAGAAAACTTATTTTGAGAAAATGGCCTTTCTTCTACACAGTTTGAGACAAAAACAAGACACCACAGGTACATGGGGTAAAAATTCTATCTGATAGATATCACCAAAGTATAAACTTCCGCAGCTTGTTGCTTACATTAAGACAATTATTTTTTTGTATTACAAGTTTTCTGATATGATATGTCTAAATATGCAAATGACTAAATGTGCACATTTTGCATACATTATCCGGAGCTAAAATGTGAACTAAAATAAAGAGCTAAATGAGTATTTTTGGACATTTCTTTTCCACTAGTCTGAAAGATGACATGTTATAGAAGCAAAATAACCCAGAATCTCAAAATTGACCAGTACAGTCTCCTCTAAATTGACATGTCGCCAGTAAATCTATACAATCCAAGAAGCTCATATTCCACCATCTTTTTAGTTTTTCATTGAAATGAGTTGCAGACCACACAAAAGCCCATCCACTGCCCTACTGACACCTAAACTGACATGTGTATCGATAAGCCATCAGTTAAGAGAGCCGCTCTCTCCGGCTGCATTCCTTATGGTTTCAATAAATGTTGATTTATCGGTATGTTGTACTGACAAGAGAAGCATTCACTGATGTCAGATCAATTGGGCTTCCTTTGGAGCTACGCTCTTTTATAACATGCTAATTTAGCATGAGGGCCATCAGCTGCGGGTGATTCAGAGTCGCACATCAGGTGTGACACAGTCCGCCTCTATAGGCAAATAAAAGAGAACTCTATTGTGAGTCGGGCTTTAACAGAGACTCTTCTACAGCAGCTGTTTTGACAATACGGCAAAATTAAAGCACAGCATGAGTGCTTACTGGAAACTGTCAATATTCAACCAATATCGAATGAATGAGGGCCGTCTGTCCTCCTTGGAAAATCAATGCTCCCTGCACAGCCTCAGTGTGTCTCTCCTTTCACAATATGGACAGATGTCAGAAGCTCCAAATAAATAAAAATAAGCAGCAAATTGAATGAGTGTGGGCAAACGCAGCAGATAAATATATTTGATTTGGGGCTTAAAATGACAGATATGCGAGGCAATCTTTCCCGGGATGCTAAAGGGTTTTAGTACCATAATTACTGAAGCTGACGGATGAGATGAGACAGGGCATAATCTGATTCCAAGAGGCAGGAGGACTCGGTGCAGGAGAAGCACTTACCACCATCTTATTTTTGGACACCCAGCAGTCGGCGGGGAAGTCCTGCAGCATGGGCACCAGGAACTGCAGGCAGCCGTCCCAGTGACAGAGCAGCAGCATCATGCCGATCAGGTTGACTATCCTCACCATGGCGCTGGCTAGGTCATAGGTCATGTGGAAGATCTGAGGGGTGGGAGAGGAAGGAACCAGGCAACGAGTTAGGGTAGGATGATTCATCACACTGATAGTCAAGTCCCTGAAATTTCTCCAGATTACAAAACACACACACATCCTCAAGGGAGATTTTCCTCTTCTACAACAGTTCAGTGACTTCTGAGTTTATTTTTTGATCACACCACGCACAGGCTTTGTAGTTTAGCAATTAGATAACAAACTGCTTAGCCAGTAGCTTTTTACATCACACACAGATGAGCTGGTGGATGCAGATGTTGCTGTTCTGAGAACGGTCCACTGGGGATGGTCAGCAGACTGGGACCAGCGCTTTATCTCCCCTGCTGCTGAATCGCTCTTATCATCAGCCACTCAGCCAAACACAATAATGGTACAAGGGTAGAGGTGGCTGCGCTCCTGGGGTGAGAGCGTTCACCGGCTGGGTTTGTTAATCCTAATGATAAATATACTCATAAGGCGCTCCAGGACTTCTGGGCTGGTGTAGATTTTAATGGCCTCAACCATTCAAAGCCTCTTAATCCCATTGAAGACCACGGTGTGCACTGCTAACCGCTCCACTCCTTATTAAAATCCACTCAGCGCCATTTAAGGGTTTGTGACTGAGAGGGGATATTCCATCTTCACTTTGTCGTTCAGCAGTAGGTGATAATGAAGAGGAGGATGAAGACATCATCATATTGTCACCTAAACTATAATCTCAGTCTTTGTTCCTAAAGCACTGAGCTTGTTTATTTTTCAGTTTCCGTCTGAGTGCATACAAATGTGAGTGCGCATCTGTGTTTTTCTCTGTGTGCATGTTAAGAAGAAGGCTGGCAGGGATCAGTGTGGTGTTTGTCCGGGACAGTGTGGGTGCTGCTGCACCATCAAATCACATCAATTTAGCTCCGTCAACAGGCCAGCATGAAGCCAGAGGTATGCCCGGGAAAATGTGCCCGGGCGAGGAGGGGAGCCAGGCTCTCTCAGAGTGGATGGAGACATCCCCACTCACGCACTCTCTGTCTGTCCTCACAAACACACACACACTGAAACTCTAAGTGTCTCTCTACTGCTCTGTCCCTTTCCTTCTTTCTTTGGGCTCTTGTTCAAAATGTTTAGCCTTCGGCACTTTTACATCACCTAAGCTGAATCATTCGCTCAGTTGCACCTTTTCCTGCTCAGCTGACCAAATCCACTAATTTTCTCCACTTCTGTTCACAGCTGCACAGCAAACGTGAGCTATTGTTTTATTTTCAGGAGTCAGTCTTCTTTAAGTGCATAAATAAGTTATGTTATCTAATAAGCAATGTGGTGTGATGCCAAATTTCCTGCTGGAGCTGTAATGGCATTCCATAACATTAAAGTGTTAAATTCACTCTGTGGCGAATGAATCTCTTTCCATCTCCCACATTGAGCTTGATATATTTTTCATTCGTGAAATCGTATTTTCAGACAGGAAGAAGAAGCTTTCTAAAACACAGACTGCTTTTTTAAAATCTATAAAAACTTGCTGAGCAAGATGTGAACTCCAATACAGCAATCTCTGGGACATTAAGGACTGACAAAGACATAAAGCAAACGAGCGCACAGTGTATTGTTTACATTCTAAATGATTATATTTAAATCAGTCATTTGAGATTTCAGCATAATTACCATTGCAATATTACATTTACCCTCAGGCTCTCCGCATGAGGAAGCTGCATATGTTGTTGAAGAGAGGAATGAGCTGCCTCTTTATGCCTAATGCTACAGTATATAAGCAGGATATTTAGGTGTAATTGAAGAGATATAAAATGTCAAATGTCTTACTCAATTTGTTTTTTCCAAATTTGTTTTACCTCTAGTGTGCTCTGATAAATGATGAAAATTAAAGGGGCACTCCACACATCAAAATTAGCTTACTTGTCACTGGGGTAGTAATAAAGCATGTGAAAATTAGTTGAATATTTTTTGTGGCTCTGGGAGAACTCTTCAAAGTTTGAGAAAATAACCCTGATGATGTCATGGTGATGTCATCAGGGTTATCTCATCTTGTGCTTGAAAAAAATTTGAACAGAAAGACTATTTAAGAAACTGGGCACTTGGAGTTTGATAGATGGGTCAAATGAAAGACTCTCTGGAGTTGCATTGTGGGAATTGTAGGATCCAATCTTTCTGTAAAAAATAAATGTAAAAAATTAAATAAAAAGCCTCTGCTGCATCAATCTTGACCATCCCATCTAAATATGTTTTAATACATATGGGGGGGGGGGGGGGGGGGCGACAGCCCCCTAAAAAAAATCTATATTAAAAAAGCTACACTTCAACACATAACCACACCCTGCTCTCTGAAATCATTTTTAGCAAATGTAATTAGAATCATAGATGAACTTAACAAACCCATTACTGTTACTAAAAACTTATCACAGGGTGTATCAGGCAGTTAAATCTAATACTATTAAGACCCATTCAAGACACCTTTTAACCACATTTAGGACAGATTTTTGGACAAATCATGTTTTAGTTATTCAAGCATCACAGGTAAACATAGCAGGCTAATCATATATATGTGGTCTTATGCAAGTGTTATGAAGAAATATGGTTATTACAGTGACTTTTGTACATTTTGCCAACAGGTAAGTGCAAGTATGAAGTAAAATGACAGTATTATAGGTTGTTTTAAAGATTTGTAACATTAGAAAGTGGACTTCTACATAGAAAGGCTTCACATATTTTCACAAAAGGAAATTTAAAAAATGGATAAATGAAATTAGATAAATTGTTTGTAGTAGTTCAGACCTCACAAATTCAAATGTAAGACTTTTTAATGACTTTTAAGGCCTTATTGTTGTGACATTAAATTTTTAAGACATTTTAAGATGTTTTAAGGACCTGTAGACACCCTGTATTATTACTACTAGCTCTAGTATTAAGGAGTACTGCAGTTCTGTGTGTAGTTTGTCCAAGTGGCCGTTTCCAGCAGAAGCCATGCTTTACTGATGTGGGTAGATACAGTCAGTGTCAAACACTGTGTAGTCTCTCTATTTCATTACTTTCAAATGTATTAAAAAGTGGTAAACGAGGATGTAATACAAGTGTTATATAGGCTATATCACTTTTGATTGTTATAGTTTTTGTAAAGTGTTAGTATGTCATAAAAATGTCATAAAATTTGATAGTATATGTCAGAAAAATGCCATAAAAAAGTTGTAATATGTCATTAAAAAATGTCAATTGAAAAGTGAGTGTCTGCACTTTTCCCGTGCAGCCATTAATTGTATACTGGCTCCCTAAAATGGCATTCAGTCATCAAACTTTAAAAAAAAACTGATCTTTGATTTTTGTTTCTAAAATGTTCAGTTTAGCTGTTCAGTTTCTTAAAATTTCTTCTGGGGGGGACTACCCAAAAGCCCCTCGAGAGGGTTGGTTTGCAGAAGGTGTAGACGGAAAATGGTCCTCCTCAATCTTACAAAGGTGATAATAGCCCTGGTCTAATGAGTCTCCCAAACTAATGGATTTAAAATATTAAATTGCTGGAATACACCCTTAACAACTGCATGAAAAACACCAATATTACTTTGGTAAACAGCTGTTACCTATATCATCCAAAATGCTGCAGAGCACTGGCTCATTTGGGGAAATGACTCTTCTCATGGAGCACAGAATCATCTATCTTTAGTGTATGCTGCACTGTCCCGTTGCATTGTGAGGGTTGTCCTTGAACCTGTCAATATACTGAATGCTATTGTACTCTCTACAGTGTCAGTATATTTCTAAAGCAGGATAAATTCTTTTCAATATCTTGTGGTGCAGCCTGAATGGCTCATTACTGTTCAACAATAACTCCTGCTACAGTCCTACTGTAGATGTGCCCTCAAAAGACCTCTGGCACTTAACCACTGTGTGGAGAATAAAGCCTGTGAGAACTGTCACGGGTAATGCCATGCAAATCTCCGGTTTGTAACCCAAAGTGTACTGTCACTGGAGGAAGGTGATTCCCCTATCTCTCTTCACAGCTGTAATCAATTCAAATACACCCATGCCAAGCAGGAACAGACTTTCCAGTTACGAAAAATTGTTCCCAAGATTGGTTCTGTTAGAAGGTTGTTAAAGGATCATTATTCTGAAGCGCAGGGGTGAGGCCTCTGTATCTTGTCTCCCTCTACTTTTGTCTCCCCACTTGTTAATGACAAAATAGCCACATACAAAAGTTTAACATGTTCTGTACCATAAAAAGGCACATATGCAGTATTTAACACTGACACGCACATGTGAATTCACACACTGTTTGCACACGTAGCACACAGCAGCATGGCGTGTTACATGGCAGATGATGGATTGCTGACCACTTTCTTTTAATTTACCAGGACACAGAGTGAGCCTGGCAGTATTAGCATCAGCATAAACAAGAGAGCTTTGATTGATGAGGGCACGGCGACGCAACACAACAGCTTGTTGTTACTCTCACTACCCTCATTATCCTCTCCATATGAGAAGCCATGCCGGTATCTGCTTGCCTTTTTTTAATCTAAAACGTGGGTCATATCACGTAACCTATAGTAAGTCAGCGCTAGTGTAGTGGTGTTATAAATGCACCCAATGATATTGCAATTACATGCTTGTGAGCATCCTGTCATGGAGGCTGTATTTAATTAACAGTACTCATGTGGAAAAAGACACTTCAACCACAGTCAATATTACAGACACTGACAATAAAACTGCAACTCTTACTACACTCCTACAAGAAATACTATGATTACCACAATCTCTTACCCCACTGACTAACATTGCTGTCAAAAATGCTATTTCCATACTCCTCCTACCTGGCAGAGATGGAGCAGAGACATTCACAGCATTTCACAGTCAAATAAAGCTAGTAAACAAAGACCAATAAACATGACAGGGGTCAAAAGCAGGGTCACATGCAAAAGTCATCTGTATACTTGTGAGCCAGCATTCAGGCCCGCACAGGCGCAGAATGGGTGACGGCAGCTGCAGAGTCATCTCCAAACAGATGGAGTGAGAAGAGCGTGATC